ATTCTCCCACCAGCCACCACTCCTCCCTTCCTCCTCAAAGTACTGATACGTGAAGCCCAACCAGGGAAAAGCCGATGTGGCCAAACTAGCCTTGTCTCAAATAATCCAGAAGAGCCGTGAGCACCTGGGTGAGGGGAGAGGAGGCCTGTGAAGCAGAGGGGCTCTGCACAGTTGCCCTATACAGGACTGCAGATGCCGACCTACCCTAGTCTTTACTCTGCAGGTGTCCTGGTTCCACAACCTGCAGACCCCTCTCTACAGGGTACACAGGGTGCTAGGCACCCTGGGGTCAAGAGAAGAAAAAACATCAAGGACCTTCCAATGGAAGGAGCCAGAGTGTGCACATGTAGCTCAAACCTAGCAGGACTCAGTAAGTCTGGGGAGATGGGGCCTAACCTTCTCAGATCGGGTATGAGGACAAGTCCAGAGGGACTCCAGCTGGAAGGCCCCAGAAAGCAAACATAAACCCAGGTTCCCCACAGTCATCTTCATGTGGAGACCTTGGGTACAAGGGCTTTCACGGAGGGAGGATGAAGCAGCACATGTAGTCTTGGAGCCAGATAGCTCTGAGTTGGAATCCTGGCTCAGCTGTTGACTTGCTTGACCCTACATCAATGCCGCCCACTAGAACTTCATGTGATGAAGGAAATGCTTTATTCTGGGTTGTCCAGTATGGTAGCCACTAGTTACTGGTGGCTACTGGACACATGAAACCTGGCTGCTGTGATCGAGGAGTAGAATTTTTTTTTTTTTTTTTTGAGACAAAATCTCGCTCTTGTCCCCCAGGCTGGAATGCAATGACACGATCTCAGCTCACTGCAACCTCCGCCTCCCAGGTTCAAGCAATTCTTCTGCTTCAGCCTCCTAAGTAGCTGGGGTTATAGGTGCCAGCCACCGCACCCAGTTAATTTTCGTATTTTTAGTAGAGACGGGGTTTCACCATGTTGGCCAGGCTGGTCTCGACCTCCTGACCTCAGGTGATCCACCCGCCTCGGCCTCCCAAAGTGTTGGGATTACAAGCATGAGCCACTGCGCCCGGCCAGGAATAGAATTTTTAACTTAATTTAATCCAATTTAGATTTAAGTAGCTACATGTGGCTGGTGGCCACCATATGGCTCAGTTTCCTCATTTGAGTCATGAAGAAAACAGTAGCCCCTACTGTATTAGGTTGTTGTGAAGAGTGAACAAGATGGTTTATGTGAAGCACCTGGAATATCACAGAAAACGAAATTCATGTTAATTCTAGCTAACAGCAGCATTCTTTAAAGATGTGGGGGCTGTTCACGGGCAAAGTGGGGAGGTGGTAAAGACAACAGGGCAGAAAATCAAGGGAGGGGAGTTCTAACTGCCACACTGTGAGGTGTTGGCAATCATACTGTGGTTGACAAAATTTTGAAATTTTTTTTTAGGTGATTCATGCATTTTCATTACTGTGTTACCCCCATCTGTTTCCCATCAGAAAGTCCTTAAGGGAAATGCAAACAGTCCTGTAGAATGAAATCTGGGAGCAATGAGGAAGGAGGACCCAGATAGATTGTGTCCCTGTCTGCAGCCAGCCTGAGGGAGAGAAGCCTAAGAGACAGCTGGGTGGGTGGGGGTGCTCACAGAAAAGGGAGAAGCGGGTGGAGTCCTTGATCCTGTCAACGGGGAGATGGAGAGCCAGAGAATGGGCTTGGGGATGAATAGGAGGAATGTGAGCCTCTCCAGAACAGACCGACACAACACACACACATACACACACACACACTCTCACACACTCACACACATGCACCCCTACCTGGGGCTTTTCTGGTGCTGTTCACCAGGAGCTGCTGTTTTCATGGGGGCCCCACAGCTCCCGGGCAGAGCAAAGGAGGTGGCTGCTCCGAGCTGAATGTCTTTAAGGGAGGGGCGGTAGGCTGGGGTGGGGCTAATGGGGAAACAAGCACAGGCAGTGCTAACCCCAAAGAAAATAGAGGGCATTGAGGTGGGCGCAGCATCTTCTCCACTTATCCTCTCCTGCTTGGTACTTGGGGCCTGGAGCTGCCCCCCTGCATTCTGTCCAGCCTTCAGGGACCTCCAGAAGCAGCTGACCCTGGTGGTCAAACGTGATCAAGAAGAGCAGCTCTCCTCCATGGACACCCCAACCCCACCATAGGCTGAGGCAGAAATGCTTTGATGCACACAGGTTCTCCGTTCTCAGGGCCACCCTTGGCACCACAGTTGCCTTGTTAGGACCTGCTCAAAGTGAGACCACCCATGCAGGCCTCAGGGTGACCCACCCTGGGGTGCAGATGAGGACTGGTCTGAAGGAACCCTGAGCAGCTCTCCCTAGAACGCCCTCTCACCTCCATGCAGGCAAAGGCTCACAGTCAGGCTTTCACCCTCCTAAATAGCCCAAACGCTACCCCAGGCCCATGGATCATCTTACAGTGAACAGTGACATTAGCTCAGATGGTCTGAATGCCACTCCTGCCAAGAGTCCAGGAGGACATCTGACCTCCCAGAGGCTTCTTCACAATGGTCCCTGGGTGACACATAGTCATTCAGTGAAGACCCAAGGGTTTAACAATCATTAGGAACTTGCTTCTCTTGACACCCTCCTATAAATATAGATCTAGACAGTCTTTCCTTGCCAAGGGAAATCCAGTAAGCTTCTGCCCTTCAGTGACTTCCCTGTGCACTCAGAATAAAGCCCCAAATTGCACCACGGCCCCGTCCTCTCTCTCGAGCCCCATGCAGCTCTCCCATTCTCCACTTCAGCTACTCTGGCCTTTTGGTAGCTGGAACACACCATGCACCCCTCAACTTTATGTTCCCCTCTGACAGTACTTCTCCCTAGGTAGCTTCTATTCTGTCTCAGCTCAGTCACTCATTCCTCTGGGAAGACTCCCATGCCTGTTTGTCTTTGCCAAATCTCCCTTTTCTATACTCCCAGCACCTCCCATATCCCACTTTGATAGCAGTTGTCATCATTCTATTTTGGAATTCTATTTTGATTGGAATAATACTTTGGTGGATATCTATCTTCACTGCTGGACTGCAGGTTCCCTGAGGACAGGGAACACGTCTATCTTGCTCACCATGCCGTATACAAGCTTGGCACATTGTATGTGTTTCCTTCCTTCCTTTCTTTCTTTCTTCCTTCCTTCCTTCCTTTCCCTTTTTTTTTTTTTTTGAGACAGAGTCTCACTCTGTGCAGTGGCATGATCCTGGCTCACTGCAACCTCCGCCTCCCAGGTTCAAGCGATTCTCCTGCCTCAGCCTCCTGAGTAGCTGGGATTATAGGCACAAGCCACCATGCTTGGCTAATTTTTGTATTTTTAGTAGAGACGGGGTTTTACCATGTTGGCCAGGCTGCTCTCGAACTCTTGACCTTGTGATCCATTTGCCTCAGCATCCCAAAGTCCTGGGATTACAGGCATGAGCCACCATGCCCGGCCTGTATGTGCTTTCTAATGGCTTGTTGAATACATGATGAAATGCTCCTGCCCATCTCCTCGTGGAGGAAGGGTGGGACAAGGCCACCTGCCCAGGCTAAGGGTGGGGGAAATGTGCAACATGCACACTCACACCTTGAAGCACTGGAGACGTGCACAGAAATAGCTGCAGGCCTATGACAGACCTCGGGTGTTCATTAATAATGATGATAGCCAGGTGTGGTGACTCATGCTTGTAATCCCGGCACTTTGGGAGGGTTGAACGGGGAGGATCACTTGAGCCCAGGATTTTGAGAACAGCCTGGGCAACATAGTGAGGCTCTGTCTCTATAAAGTAATAACAATAATAATAATGATAGAAATAGTTTGTTTCCCTCTCACTACAACACCCTCTACCTGCATGTCCCAAAGGAGCAGAATTGGTATAAATTGCTGTTAGCCACGCCCCTTCCTCCTTTCCCATCTTTAAGCATAGTTGCTAAATTATTGCACCTAATTGTAATAGTAAGAGCTAACACTCATTAAGCACTTACTGTGTGCTAGGCAATATTATAAGTGCCTCACATATACGGACTCCTTTAATCCTCACAATAATCCCATGAAGTAGTCACGATCATTATCTCCATTTTACAGATGAGGAAGCTGACATAAAGAAAGATTATGTAATTGTCTAAGGTCATACAGCAAATAACTGGCATTCCTGGAACCCAAATCCCGGATGTCTGGTTCCAAAGCCCACATTTTTATTCTATTCTGCCTCTGCCAAACAAAACCCAAGCCAAAAATGTCTTCTTCAAAACGTCTTTAGAGAATGTGACCAACAACATGTCCCCATCTACTATGAGGAGTCAAACTGCAAATAGCCACACAGAGGGCATCTTTGCATAAAACTGCTCCCAGCATTGCTGCTCACATTGTTGTGAATATCTTTCTTATGAAAACCCTTGTGGCAAATTCCTCAGTGGCTCAGAACTAAGAGAAAGTTGTCCCTCTTGGTCTTCTGGGCTCCTTGTTGCCTTCCTTTCAGTGGATGATAATTAAGTAATTGGTGAAGTTTCTTTCTTTGCTCTGGCTGCCAAGGAGCTCAGAGATAAGGTTTATTGTCTATTTTAGTATCTTCTGCTCTTCCGCTAATCTTAGTCACCTCCCCCTCTGGTTTTGCTGAATTTATTCTCCTTCCATCTTTTTTACCTTTGTTGCCAGATTTACTTGGACTGTGTTTATGGTAAGATACCCCAAAACCTTTTGCAAATAATGTAGGGGTTCAAACACTGTCATTTTAAAAAGCAGACTCTGCTACTTTGTCAAGGAACAAATGTCTAGTCATCTCGGCCTCTACCCACAAGCTGCTGTTTCTTTCCCTCTCTTTAGCTACACTCACCAAATTACCACCTGCCTCAAAAACACGTAAGCCTTCTTTTTCAGGTTCTGAAGTGTAAGGTGGGCACGCTGACATCACAGCCACATTGTTTGTGGACTGTCTCCACCACATGACCTCTAGGGTCCACTTCCCCTATGAGTGAGATAAGAGGACTGAATTCCATCAATGTTCTCGGATTTTTTAAACTTTGCCACCACAGATTCTTCCACAAGCACATCTCAGGCAGCCAAAAAGATTGTGTTGAATTTTATGTTCTGTGGGTTTGTTTCCAAAATAGTAGATATGGTGAGTATATTGGATACGCTTTCTCAATCCATGGGCTTTCTCCCAACCCCATATTATAATACTCCTCCAGGTGCTATGGTCCTGTAGCATGTGATATTTTTAACGCCCCTTACATGCTGATTCTCCTTTCTTCTGGTAATACATACCAATTTTCCTTTGGGGAACGGCCATTTATCCCTTTGATGCAGTCTTAGAAGAACTTTCAATGATGGTTTTTGTCTTTCCTAGCCAAAGGGTGAGCACACAAGCCACCAGCCCAAGCAGATGCTCTCTCCCTGGAAGGTGACTTTTGAGCACTGTGTCCCAGGGCCTAAGCATGGTTCTTAAAGATGATGCCTTAAGGATGCAGTCCATTAGTTCCTGCTACCCAGATCCCAGAAGCTACCCTGTTCCCTGTCCTTTTGGAGGTTAGTTATTCAGCTTTTCCTTAGTTCTCCAATTAGTTGAATAGCCTCTCAGTAAATTCCTGTTTTGCTTAAGATAGTCAAGTTGGATTCTGTTGCTTACAACCAAAGAACTCTAATTGATACATAACTCCCTCTACTAAGAATAATTGACCTGGATTATATTTGAAGTCTCTTTTTACCTTTAACAATCTGTGATTCCAGTAACCTCACATAACATAAGTTACAGGATATCTAAATCAAGATTTAGGAGAAGTAAAAGAAAAACCCCAAATACACAGATAGAAGAGATTAAAAATTTTGTAGTAGATTGAATAATTGTCTAACAAATATTCACTTCCTCTCCCTCAAACTTGATGAGAGACATATGCTTCCCTAGACTCTTTGTGTTGTGCTTTACCATGTGATTTACTTTAGCCAGTGGAATGTGAGTGTGAGAATGTGCCATCTTTGAGCCTAGGCCTTAAGAATTCTGTGTTTCTGCTCACCACTAGGAGTCTGCAACCTCCCCCATGAGAAGAACATGTTTTGGGAAGAATGGGAGTCATATGGAAGTGACTTGAACCCAACTCTCAGCCTGGAGTCAGGCTCAGTGTAGAGAAGCTGAACCCTAGACAACCTGTAGATGCATGAGTAAGAAATAAAGACTTGTCACGAGGTTTTAAGATTTTTTTTTTTTGTTATGCAGCATTATTACAGCCATAGCTGACTGATACAGATTTGTTGTAACTTCACTTTACTTTAAGCCTAACAATTTTCAGATTGATCCAGTCTACGAAGGGCTTAGTAAAAGTCCTACCTGCCACTTTGACCTGGTTGGGAGCGCAGGATCTGCAGGGAAGAACCTGGAACTCTTCTGCCTGGTACATGGAATAATCAGTACTAGCAATGACCAAGGTATCTCCAGGCTTCCATGACTGTACATTATCCTCCAGGTTCAGAATGGTGCTGTTCACATTGGTGTCAATGGTGACTGTGAGTTTGGGCCTCACTGTAACCCAAAACAGGAAAGACTGAGATAGAGGCCTTTGCCCTTGGCAAACTTTTGGCTATCTCTTTTTTCCCTTCCCCTCCATAAATAACTAAATGCCAGGTTTGCCTATCCAAAACCCAAATCACTAGCTTGCTCCATCCCACTCTTGGTAAAGGTTTTTGAAGTCAACAAAAACCCTACCAGAAAAGAGCCATTCATTAGCTCTGGGCAGGGGAATTTTCCACTAACTTCTTAGCTGGAGTTAAATGTGGCTGCCTCACCCCACCCACTTTGCTCAAGATGTAAAACAAATATAGTTCCTCTCAACTATTATTTTCAGTTGCCATAAACCTCTCCCCCTAAACTTTCATTCCTAATGACTGCCTTCTGGAGATGGCCAAGTGCCTCTGAGAACAACCCGACCATTTCCAATCTCTTCTAACAAGCACCTTAGGAACTGGGTTTAAAATAATAGCACCCAAAGAGGCAAAGAGCTGCACATCTCTGCAAGGGAGGACAGCTCTGTCCATCTGTACGTTGACTGTCTTGGACCAGGCCCTTCCTTTTCCTGAAAGGCTTATGGGCGGGGTGGGGTTCTGCTGTCTCCTGCCAACTCCAAGGATCCTCCCACTGCTCCTGTGTCACAAAAGTGCTCTCCTTTGGGAGTACTGTCTCACTGAGACGTCTGGAGGTTGCCTGCATAGCTGCCAGTTCAAGGAACCGAGCCATAGTTGCATCTGCATCCCCGACAAGGGGCTGCTTACCAGGCTTCCCACAGAGGAACCGTACACGGTAGCTCCGGCAGGCTCTGCCCCGGTCATAGCAAGCAAACCTATAATCCTGGCCTTTTTTGTAGACAACCTCGGTGCTGAGGTTAACTCCATCCATTGTAGTGGCCTGGGAATGACACAGAAATTACAGAGCAAAGTCATTTTTTTATAAAGAAGGAAGGTGATGATTAATGTTCTAAACATATACTCAGAGGTCTAAAATTGTCCCTGCTGCAACACTATTTACAACTGCCTGAGATGATTATCCCAATGATTGCCCCCATCACTTTTGTTATGAGAAAGACAGCCTAAAGTCTTGGAATAGATAAATGCCTGGCTTGAGGTCCTACAGTACTCAATATTGAAACCAGTGATCTACTGCTTATGGCTGGGTGAACATTTTATGGAGCATCTACAATAAGTAACCACTCTTCTAGGCTCTGGGCTGGCCACTTTTTACAGTTTGCACCACCTCTACCAGCACCATGAACAGCGGCCAACAGGCCAGACATGGTTCCACATCCCCTGGGGAGGAGTCTTTAAAAAATACTCATGCCCAGTCCCCATCCTTGGAGTCTCAGATTTGATTGTGTCTGGGGTGCAGCATGGAATCTGGACTTTTAAAAGTTGCCCAGGTGATTCTAATGGGCAAGAAAGTTTGAGAACCACTTGTGTCGTTATAAAGCTAGATGTTTACCTATATTATTTCATTTCATCTTCGTAGCAAAACTATGAGGCTGCTGTTACTTTTATAGATAAGGAAACTCATCCTAAGAGAGGTTCAGTCACTTACCCTGGATCACAAAGTCAGTAGGTGGCAGAGCTAAAACTTGAACCCAGACTTATGTAACTACAACGCAACACTTCTAAGCCCCATCCACTCTTGCCCTAAGGCAGAAGCCACCTAATGTCTTTTGTTCAAATGTCTGCCTCCTCCCACCACATGGTGGGCTCTGGGAGGGCAAGGAGCTGGTTTCTGCCCCCTTGTCCCCAGCATTCAGCCCAGGGCCTGGCACAGAGTGAGGTCTCAGTGGATGAGGGCTGGCTGGTGAGCCACCACAAGGCCAGGTGGAGAATTTAGGGAGCAGGCTCCCAGGAGGGCACGATCCCTGCCAGCTGGGGCCCATCCCAGAGCCAGGGTGTGTCTGCATCCTGACCGTGACTATCATTCAGAGACATGCAATTTAGAGCAAGGGCTGTAGCTGCTGTCATCTTTGGCATAGAGACCAAAGGGACCAGACTGGGGTAATAAGGAAGGAAAGTATAGCCAATCAAAAAAAAAAAAAAAAAAAAAATTAGACAAAAAAAAAAAAAAAAAGAGGAGACTTTTTAGGAAACATTGTTTTAAACCCAGCAAATCCGTTATCTTTGGCTTGGAAGAAGAGCCATGTGGATGTGAGTTCAGCCACAATTAAAACTCAGTCATTTCCTGCAAAAACACACTCACACCCACTATCTCAGGTGGTCTCCACAGCAGCCAGAGAGACAGGGGTTGCAAACTTGCTTTTTAGACGGAGGTCAACACTGGTGGGGTTCAGATGTAAGCTCAAGGTCAGTTAAGGTAAGCCCAGCTCCTCCGGCCTCCTGACATTTCCCCCTGAGGCTAGCATGTTCTTCAATGGGAGACCCCGTAAGATTGAGAACTGAGCCTGGAAACATCATCGAAGGGAGCTGGAGATTTTTTCCAGGTGCAATGATCCAACAATAATTCCAGAAGAACATTTACTCAATTCTGCTGCTTTTTCTTTTTTACCTTTTTCTAACCTGAAGAATGACCTCAGTTTTGGATAAGAAGAGGAAAAGGGAATCCATCGTCATTCAGAGAAACAGATCTTTAAGTAGACTTGAGTTTATTATTATTCCTGGTAATAATAATTAGTAACAAAATAATTATCAATATTATAACTAATAATTTTGTTTTGTTTTATTGTATTTCATTTCATTTCATTTCATTTATTTATTTATTTTGAGACGGAGCCTCACTCTGTTGCTCAAGCTGGAGTACAATGGCGCCATCTCAACTCACTGCAACCTCCACCTCTCAGGTTCAAGCGATTCTCC